TTACTGTATTTTGAAACAAACCCTAATAATGTGTAAGACTTGTTGTGAATATGTAAAAGATGAGACGATAAGACAAAAAGATGAAGTAGTGAAAAATATGCAGACTCATAACAAGGTGGATCCAGAAATGTGAGAATGCAGAAATATAAAAAGAAGGTCCACACAGAAATGAGCGCTCCTGGTGTTTGAAGAATGTCTGAAGGGCAACATCAGACATTCTGTAACTGAAAAATAAAAACTGCAGGAGCTCAAATCTCTGTGCATGCCTTTATACAACCATTTATTTTGATACAAAGGCATAAAACGAAGACTTTAAACTTAAAGGTGCACTTTTTTCTGGGGAGGGGTTCACTACCTTTGTACCCCATGGAGATATTTTTTTACCTGTACTGTTCCAAAGTATAGCATAACTCTTCTATCTTTATTCACAGTTTTTGTTTCTTAGAACTAACTTGAAAAAAACATGCAGTCTTATTATAAGAGGGGTCAGTTTAATGCCATACTGTGGACAGGCAGCATCCTCCACCACAAAAGTTACATAGCGCATCTTTAAAATTATTAAAATTGTGTAAGCCAATACCATATTAAACACGTTACCTTTGCCTCAGAATTGGATCACATAAGGAGCAGTTTTACACATATGAAAATGTCTGATTGCAAGTACATTGACTGGAAATTATGATGATTATTGATTTATTTTGTCATCATTATCATGACTTTCAGCTTCCTGTTATATGAAATATTTTGAGAACTTTTTTCACATTTAAAATATTTGTTTTAAAGGTGCATTGTGTAACTTTTCTGGTGGAAGATCCGTCATTTGTTTTTCTCCATGGAGATGTTATTGTTTTGTCTGGAATGTTTCACAGTATGGTATTAAACCTTTTTATCTTCGTGAAGGCCAGACCAAGTGACAGATCTGTGGAGAGGCAATCCTGCTCACAGTCAGAATGCTTGTTTTTTGGTATTTTTGAGCTATACAACCACCTGTAATTGAATAAATGTAGGGTAGAGCTGTGGAACATTCCAGACAGAGCATTGACATCTCCATAGAAACAGCAAGTGATGGACCCCCAACCAAAACATTACAAAATGCACCTTTAAATTGTTCATGATTAAGGCAATGTTTTTTTCTTTTAATTATGAATGTCATAGATTGTCCTCTGCATTTTGATCCATGTTTCAATGCCACTGATCTTTACATTTATTTAAGCAAGATTATTCTTGAACCAGTAAGCAGGTCTTATTGTCTGTATGCAGTTGCACACTAGTTATTGTTATCTTTGCCGTTCTGGTTTCTAAAAGTTTTGAAAAGAACTTATAAACACATCACAGTGAATAATTAGGATTCTTGGATTTTACAAAGGTACATGAAGAATAACTTGTGCAAACTGTTTAATATGAACCAGTTCTGTTTTGTGTAGTTTTTTAGGACAGTAAAAATCAGGAACAGTGTCTTTAAAGGTGCATTATGTAACCTCTATAGTGGAGGGTCCGCTACTTGCTTGTCTTTATGGGGATATTAGTTCTTTGCCTGGAATGTTCCAACCTTCCAACCTTAAAAAAACATGAATTCTTACCATGTATAGCTTCCTTCTACAAATATCTGACCATTAACCTGTCTCCATTGTGATTTCTAAGTTTATTAACATTCTGTGCAAGCAAGTGACCGACTCTCCACCCGAAAAGTTACACAGTGCACATTTGAGTGTAACTTTCTTCTACTCTACAAGGAACACTGGAACACAGTAAATCCTACAGTCCATTTCCACTAGCCCCAGTATTCTTTCTGTGTGGTGCCTGCTCCTGTACTACATGCTCCCATAAACTTGTTTAATGTGAGGTCTAATATGAGATGCAGAGGTCAGGCATCCATCAGCTCCTCTGTCACCTCTCCTTTTTCTCATTCACTGCATCCCTCCATCCACATCTGCATGCCATTTCCTCCCTCCACCTCAGAGACTATAAAGGTATAAGCTCTGCACAATAATACATAACGAGTCCAATGGAAGATGGATTTGGTCTAGTGTTGTCACAATATTAATATTTCAAACTTGATTTCAATACTAAAAAAAGGATTGGTACTCAATAATCATTTGGATAATACAGTTTTTTCAGTCTTATCATGTCATTTTCAATTCTTATTAATACAGTTTATTTAAAGGGGTATTGTGTAACTTTCCGAGTGCAGGGTCCATCATCTGCTTGTTTCTATGGGTATGTCATTGCTCTGTCTGGAATATTCCACAGTATGACATTAAACAGCTCTAACTTACATTTATTCAGTTACAGGTAGTTTTAAAGCTCAAAAATACCTAGAATAGCAAGCATTCTGACTGTGAGCAGGGTTGCCTCTCCACAGGTGTGACCCATAACTTGGCCTGGTTTGGTCTGCATGATGATATAAAAGTTTAATCCCATACTATGAAACATTCTAGACAAAGCAATAACATTTCCATGGAGCAAAGCAAATGATGGACAGTCCACCAAAGTTACACAATGCACCTTTAATGTTAATTCTTCTGTAAGTATACGGAGGAAACTTCTCTCTAACTTTGTCTCTTATCCATGTTTTCATCTTACCTGCAACTGTGTTCATATTCATTTTTTTCAGTGACACATGTGAAACAATATCAAATTTAGCTCACTTCATATTAACAAAGTTTAGCACTTTGCACACTGATCCTGCAGAAACCTGCAATAAACCTGTCAGTCACATGCATCTGAAAGATTCGTCGGTGACCAGACTCACATCTTTGTAAAGTGTTCAGTTGGTATCTACATGATGAACAGGATTCTTTAACAGACAAACTAGCGGAAAAAACACCAGGATCATGTAGAGCAGGTTAATACGAACATTTTTAGACTAAAATGACAAGGCTCACTACAACAGTTACAGAGAGAGGGGCCACAATATTCCAATGTAAGTCAGTGGGAGTCAGTACGAGCCGGAAGCACCCACATGCAAACTTCCTATTTAGAACAAAAAAAAAATCTGATATTAATAGATACTAAAACTGCTATCAATTAGTATCTGATTCTCAATACTTTTGACGACCCCAGTGTATGAAAACACTAACTCCAGTGAAAGTCAAGTCATAAGAGGAGAATTTGCACATTTGAACCAGGATCTAGAAATAAATCAACCACTGTTGTCATCCAAACAGTGGCACTAACCTTGAGTCAAAGGCACTTCCAAGTGAATGGGGAGATAAAAGGAGAGTGGGCATCCTATCCATGCACTCATTAAAATCAAACTCTTTGCCGTTGAGAATTCTAATGTTGTATTGATCGATCTAATCTGTGGTCTGGTCTTGTACCTGTGTGGGCATCCTGCATATGGACAACAGCCCTGGGGAGCACTATATGTTTATAATGGAATGTGTGGGAGACCGCAGAGCCTATTATGATTCATGAATAACATTTAAATTCAAATTAGGGTTGTGTTTGTTGTACAAGAAGTACAAAATGACAAAGTGCACCATGAATTTAAAGATTGTGAATGATATAAAAGAACATGCATACAAGTGCAGTGCATAAATTGTCAAGTATCATTATTCCATTGTACAAACTTGTACAAACTTTGACAGACGACTGCTTTATCATATAATAAAGATACAATTAATAATACATAAAATATAATTACAAATATTATAGTAAAAAAAAAAAACTTTATTCACAACCCACTATTTTTGTCCATTAACTATCAATATAAGAATATAATTATTACCCTACCCGATGATAAACAAAAGATGTCATTCCTCGAGTCCTTGAGATGATACGCACATTTGAAATGTGGTATATGTGTCAACACAACTCTTCACAGCTGAAAAAATCCATCAGCACTTTCATTCAGTGCGATGTATAGGTCAAGGATTCTCAAGGAGTCTTGTAATAAACATACAATAAAATATGACCTATTTGTGCACCATAAATCTCCGAATGACACAGGAACTACTATGCAAGGTCTAACTATGCCATATGAAAGATTTGTCTGACCACCCAGTCCCTTTTAGATTCTATTCATAACCTGAAGGGTCTGGAATTGAACCACAAAGCGTGAAAACCTCCGTCCAAACTTGAGACGATCCAACCACAGCCACTAATTTGTAGCACGTTGCTCAAATGCGGAAGACATCACTTGAAAATTCTCATCCACCTCCACTACTCAATCCTCTTCATTATTATATATGAAGCGAAATACTTGCTCAGACAAATGAATTACTCTCTCACTAAATTTCACTCTTCTCTCACTAAATTTCAATGCTGATTAATAACTGAAAGGGTTTTAATTAGGCTAGAATTCCTGTTATGGCAGGTAGCTCTTATTATTATTACTATAGACTACTAGGGCATAAGTTATACCCTCTCTCACACAAATGTTACTAATATATAAGAATCCAATTGCCTAATGTCAACATAATCCATTCTTCTTAAAATGAACGGCAAAATAACTTTCAGGGTAGGTACTAGACATGATTTAAGTTTTAACCTGAGGCATAAGGCTAGCTCAATAAACATGACAAAGAATGGGAAAATATAGGCCTTTCATTCCCTAATTCAAACATTGAATGAGGCAGTGTATTATAACCTAGTCGTCTATTGCAATAAGGGCTGTCCAATTACTAGGCTGCATTCTGTCACTTGTATTTCGGTCTCACTCACTCTCGGGTTGTCTCGTGTGAATCTGCAGGTGTTTGTGTGTACCGCGTGTGCGCAGGGCAGACACGGACAGCCAGGCAGTTGCTGTGGCACGTTGCATCTGCAGCACTTGCGCACTGGCTCCACGCTCCTCTGACTTTCCGCGTACAGAGTAAAGAAGCAAATACCCTCTCTCATCTCTTCATCCAAGCTCCGGGTTTGCGTCTCACCACTATCTTCTCTGATTTTTTTTAAATTTTTTTTCTGGCAGCGCTGCAGTCCGGTACAATAACAACAAGTCCTCCAACCCAGCGGCGCGATGGCTGTTCCGTGCTGCGGGTAAACGGGATACTGTCCATGGGCCAGGCACGATGTGAAGCCCCGCTAGAACACAGCAGGCTCCGGGATGGCGAAACGAGGCTTGTGCGCTGCGATTGTGCTCCTACTGCTCGGTGTCCTGGCGCTGTCCGTACGTGGAGGTGAGTTTTGTGGTTTTTTTGGAAGGAGGAAGCCATTTGCCAACAGAAACAGACAGGAGTTAAAGAGTTCAGGCGAATGGTGTGCTGCTTGTGCTGCGTTACAGATGATAGGGTCCCATTGGATGGACACCTGGTAGGCTCTGTGTGCCTAAACATGTTCGGAGCCTACAGATCTTACAAGGCCAAATGAAGAGTAGAAATTGGTTCATAAAATAATGATGATACAGATGTTGTTACAAATAGGTAATAGTGGCGTTTGCATGCTAGTGACAGATTTGGAGACAAAGAATAAAAGAAAAGTTTGAGTTGCAAGCTTTGGCCTACAGGTAGCATCTCAAATTAGGAATAATTAGAAAAAGTTCAGACACCCTATGATTATGTATTCACTATAATAGATTAGACTATATAATGTGCTTGTAGTCTGAGAGGTGTGTGTTTGAGGAAAGGTCTTCACAAAATCCTTCAAATCATGAAGCAATCATTTGCCTGAAACCCATGCATTTTAGGAAATATTTTGTAAATTATATATTGATTAGAACATGAATAGTTGCAGTATTGGATCATTCATTGGTACATTTTTCATCAGCATGTTAGAGCATAAAGTATTTCTTTCAGTTATTCACTTTCAACACATAATTATACAGGATTGATTATTGCTAAATCAGGTACATGTCTAGACCAATCCTTTTGTACTTGTTCACGAGCATTTGAGGTTGAATGGAGAACATAGTCACAACCATCTGTTTCAATGTTTCATGTGGCTGTCCTCGATTCATTTGTAATTGTATAGATTTACAGCTTGAATTTATGGATTTTTTTTGCTGGTCAGCATCTGTTATTGTGATGGACAGTGTTCTAACCATGGCCTGTAGCAGAATTGTAATGAGCGGTCTGCACATGATGTTGGATAGAAAGTAGCCTATACTGTCTCATGTATTTTTGATTATATTGCATATTTTTAACCTACGATACTGCGCCCGAGGCTTCTTTCACACTGTGCACTCACTTATGTAAGGGCACACAACACGATATGCATGGCTTGTCAAGTAAATTGAACAGAAACACAATTTCAAATTTTAGGTTCATGAATTTTTGAATGGTTTCCGGAGGCTGTGGAGAAGATCTCTTGAGAGGCTGCTGTATGCTTGCTGGATCATGTGTACATTTAGACAGAATTTTTTCACTGTATTTTTTTCTTGACTAGAAAGAAAGACTATAGGTTGTGCACACTTTCTAGAATTTGATGATGTCCTATTTTCAGATGGCAGGAAGAGACCTATAACTCTATGGGAAGTTTACTGTTTTTTGAAAGAAATATCCAAAATTATTTTGAACCTTACCATACTCAGTGAAGGAATTTCAGCTGACATCAATCCCATCTTGTGGATAATGGCACATTTTTGCTAACAAAGAAGATGTTAAACTTTATGTCAGTTTTTATTTCATGTAGATAGGTACAGTAATTATAGAGATATTTTCATAACCAAAGTCAAAACATCTGCATTTTGATGGTTAAAACTAACTTCTCCCACAGAATTCTCAGTCTAATCTAGCCTGTATTATTCTTGCATGTTGCGGTGTCACATGACCACAATTGTGGATAGGAGTTAAAGAGTAGGGATAACTAAGTATTTAGCTATATCCACTATGTTCTTTTAAAGGTTGTATATTATGCTAAACTGACTCTTGTGAGCTTTAAACCATGTTAGAGTTTTGTTATCTCCTCAAAAACATATCCAGAGTTATGTTTTGCTTCATTCACGTTTGAGTAACTCTTTATTATTAGTCTGTCTATATCTTGAATGCTCAAAATGCTCACTTTTCAGGTCAACAGCTACTCTTTACCTCTAGTTTAGTAAAAGTTGGAAATTCAAAAATAAGCAGAGTTTGTGTTAAACATGTGTGAATGGATCAAAACACAACTCCAAGTGTTTTTGACGAGACACAGCGTTACAGCATGGTGTAATATCTTTAACATTGGTAAAATTAACAAAGATTACACAAAATTAGAGTAATAATTTCAAGTATATTTGATGAAACTAGAGGCAATGGTACCATACTGCACAGTTTTAGTTGGTATCAGTGATGAAATGGTATTGCAATATGTGTCTCTCATGTTGAATGTGTCAAATGTTGTCAGAAGTTCTTGATTTGGAAAATAATTGCTGGGGAAGAATACACCAAATCCTAACATGGCTCCTGCTGTTTTCTAATTCAATCTCTATGTTCAACATTACTACTTGGACAAAACACTACACACATTTTGTTAGTACTATATAATGACAAATGTAACTCACAATAATTTATTACTTTATTCACCACTCTCCATGTAACTTAAAGGTGTGCTACGTAACTTTTCTGGTGAAAAGTCTGCAATGTTCCACCCTAGAACATTTAACATATAAATGCTAAATAAATGCACAAATAAATGCTAAAAAGATAGAAGCAATATAGCCTAACTCCATCAGTGAATCACGAACGAAACTACTTGGACTCAATTCCAAAAATTTATAGGGCTAATATAAATGTTATTCTTAATCACAAAGTAATAAAATAGTTCAAATAATGGTAGACAATTATGGGTAAAATAATGTTTTTCCAATATACAGATGTGTACATGTACAAGTGATTTTAAAACTGAAATGAAATACTGATTCCGGTGCCACGATGAGAATAAAAATACACTTTTTATTTAGACAGTAGAATGTCATTCTCAGCATTGAACTGTAGTGTTGTGTAGTGGTCTTACGTCTGTGTAATCCATCAGTCATCCAGATAGGTTCCATACCGGTCCATGGTTTTACTCTTGTCTATGGGGCCTTATACTTGTACTTACTTGTACTTGTACTTATACTTAGTATCTGATTTTTTATGCATTTGACAACCCTATGTTCAAGCAGGGGGGTTAAGTACAATAAGGGGTTAAGTAAATATAGTAAAATGATGGAAAAAGAAACATTCATGCAGCATCTCTATGAATAAACACACATACTGATTGCTACTAATTCCCTATAGTCCCTTCATTCAGTAAAATCAAACACGGATCAATCTAATCTCTTTATCAGAGTGTGCCTGAAGGTGAGTATGCTTATGTCAAAATATAGCTGTTTCAGGAGGCAATGACTGGAGAAAGTATATATCAGTCATTTGGACACATACAAATATAATTTACTTGTAAAATACTGACCTATCCATTGCATCTTTATAACTGAACATGTGGTTGATAATGTGTTGTTAATATTATATAATTAAATCAGTGTAATAGGCCTTTCATTGTGCACCTAAAATAATTCTGATTTTCATATTGTTCTATGAGTGTTAGAATTTGAATTTTTAGAATGAAATTTGCAATTGAAATTTCTGTTCACAGTTCACATTTTAAACTGGCCCAAGAGCATTAACATTTGAGACCAATGCATTTAAACCAATACAAATACATTTCAAAACATTTTTTACACAATCAAACTGGTAATTTTGTTGTTTTTGTTGTGACCCCATTATTGTAAAGCTCCATATGAGCCAGCCTTACTGCAGTGCAACGGGGAAAAGTAGTTAAACCCCTCTCATAAAATCTCAGTTACATTGCGGTCTTGTTATAAATGGCAAGATGACAGATTGCGTTGTGAGCAGCCCCCGTCTTTGTGAGATTGAGGATCATGTGAGTTACCATCGGCTCCAGATATGAGACATTTCACCTCCCATTTGTGCACGGGTGGAATTTCTAACAGCTGTAATTGTGTGGTTAGATTTTAAGCTTTCAAATGAGGGCTGAACAAGTTTTGTATAAATTTAAGTGATTTTTCTGACCAATATTATAATCATGATGAGACTTGCAAACATTTTAACAATCAAAATTAAGTTCATTCATAGTGTAATATTTTTGAGCCTATAGATAACAATTTCTATCATGATTCTTGTACACATTCACATTATTATATTGCCTTTAAGTTATCATATACGCTTCATCGTGATTGGTTAATTCTACCTGTCACTCACTCAGCATAATGTAGGCTTGCCTGGTATCCAGAATACACACTTCTTCAATACTTAACAAAAATCAGTCTGAATCAGCGGGCGGTGTTGGAACCAGACTGAAATCAATCTGTATCAAAAACACAGACACACAAACACACAGTCTGGATTTGCAAGGCATGACAGAGGCTGACTAATAGGAAAAGAGGGTGGGGAAAAGTGGCTTTGTATTGAGCATGTCCACTAGCACTACATAATTTTTTCATCTTATTTTTGCATGGCCCTTGAGATTGAGACATGGAATTCACCCTGTATTCACAGTGTAAGATAGTTCATTCACTTATCTGTAGTAATCAGGCCTTGTGATATCACCATCGTGGTTAGTGTTACATATTGTGTTTTTTTGCGCCTGGTAAAGTTGGTAAATGAAAGAGAAATGGGAAGATGTGATCTCATCACGACTGAGCTCTTCTGCAGTTATATTGAGGAGTGCTTGTGTTTACAGTTGGCCACATGTTTGACAGAGATTGATCATAGACGTAGTGAGAGGAGGGCTCACTCTGCGACCGGGATTTGAAAATATCTTGATGATAACAATCGCAGTTTGCCTTTGGTTCTATGTTTAATCTATGTCTGTGCCTCACTGTCAGAAATACGACACACATTTCTCATCTTAACATTTTTGCCATGGTATGCAATCTTTCATTGCGGACAGAGGAAATTGCGCTATCTTTAAATTTCAGAATATATTATAGAGGAAAACTACAAGATTAACAGCAATAGGATGGGGAAATTATATTCTATTGTTTACTAAGGAATAAACTACAGAGATAATTGCCTCCTTTTTATTTATTAATTGTGATCATTAAAATGGTGATTTTTTTTTTTTTTCTTGATTGTTGATAATTTTAAGAAAACAACATGAAAATATAATTTTGGGGGATCCTTGTTGCAATTGTACTGTTTGTTTGAGCTTGTATGGTTGTTTGAAGATAGAGCACAAAGGAGGAAATATTCAATACACGTACCTGCTGACAGATTTTCTCTCCTTTTCACACACAGGCTGAGTGTGAGAGTGTTGAATAGGGCTGACTGGATTAGAATTGAGCAGTTTTCTTCAAGTAATGCAATTATGGGAGTTCAAACAAGTCTGCAGCCTATCGCTCAGTATTTGATGTATGTAGAAATCACATTTTCAAAAAGTGACCAAAGAAGTGCCATAAAGCAGGAAAATAGAGTTATATTGTCCAGAAGATCTCAAAATAGTTGTTTGAAAAAATACACAGAAGTGCAAAATTAACTATATAATCCAAAAATTTTCAAAACCAATTAAAAAAGCATTAGAATATAAATTGACATCCCTACTATATGATTTTTTTTGCTTTCTATACAAAACATCTAGCCTGATTCATCAGCCAGTTTTACTTCGTTTCACTTCGTACCGTCTGACCTCGCAGTAGATTTCGTTCACTTGACAGTAGGTGGTTACCTTTCATTTAACCAATCGCTGCTATTGTTGTGACTGTAATGCGCCACTGATGGGGTTAACTGGTAGTGTTGTTCATGAATGAGTTCAAAAGAACGCTTTCATTGGACATGTTCATTTTTCAGTGAACTTTGAACTGAACGCAACACATTTGTAAACCAAGAGCTTGAACACGAATTTGTTCAGATTATGTGTGATGAACGACATCACTGTTGGGGTTCATTTAAACGTTGGAATTTGTTTTCACCTGTTGAGTTGAGTGACAAGTTCTGCTCGCACTTTTCAAACTGCATGTTGCGCTGTCACTCACTGCCCACGGGCTCCTCCTGCACCAGAGAGCAGTTGTGTGTGCAATGCATCTTGGGTAATGTAGTGTGAAGTAGAGATGGGCATGATTAATCGACTAATCAGTTGTTTCGTCGATCACGTTCATTTTTAATCGACAAACTGAATGTAGGTTGCTGTGCGTAGCATAAGGAGACGAGGCTGCGTCTGACACAAACACTGGATTTGCGCCCTCACGGTCCCACGTTTCAGCTGTGGCTCCTCCTTAGAGATCACTGTACCACTCACTGAATGCGCTTACATGCACATCAGTGTCCTGGGTATGATCGGGTTTTTTGAGTATCCCGGTTTCATCATGGTGCATGTATACAGAGTATCCTTGTAACTGCAACATAAAGTTGAGTGCACATGCGTCCAAAAGACAAACACTTTTCAGTCTTTTCATCAACAGTAGCCAAAATAAATAAAGTTACCAACATAAATAAAGTGAGTGAAATGACAAAACCTGCACACGTATGATCTCTGAAAACATGAACCATCTCTCATTTACATATCCCACCTAAAAATAAAATGAACTGAACTTTGAATTAGTTCAAAATTTAAAATTGTGAACTACGAACGGGAATAGTTCACTTTGAAAATGTGTGAACTGAACCTTGAACAAGTTCATGAAAAGTGTGAACTTGCACAACACTGCTAACTGGTATATAAAGCTTTTCCCAGATCCTGTAGGAAGAAGGACAATAACGTTTTTCCCCTTGATGAAATTCACCAAACATACACTTTATTCCAGCTTTAAATCCTCGATCTCTGGAATCGTTGACAACACTGAATATATGACTCTTCGTTGATTGGAAAACCGGGGTTTTTGCGAACCGCCTATTGTATTCTGATTCCTGACCTAGTTGCTGGAGAGAAATGAAATTGAGCAGAGACACTAGGTGGCACCAGCTTGGCTACAAAACATCACCCACCTATAACTATAACTTTTCTGGCATGAGGGTCCACTACCTTCTTGTCTTCATTCACATGTTTCTCATTTATCTGCATTTTTCATTTTTGTAATTCACTCTATTCCACGTGACCTGTAACTTGCTCTGGTGGACTCACTTGCTTGTTATCATGGTGATAGACAGGTTTAATGTAGGCCTGTCACGATTACTATATCGACTTATTGTTCAATACATAAATGCGGGAATAATGTATTTTGAGTCTCAATATTTATAATCTTATGTTGCAGTTCATACCTTTAAAGATACCGTCTGTTTTAAAAAGAATTGCTGGGATTATCCTGCTTTATTGTTTTGGTTTCAGTGGTAGAAAGTAGTTTCAATATTATTGTTTATGGGAGTATATCTCTGTAGCACTATATCGAGCTTCAAAATTTGTTATCGTGACAGGGCTTGTTTAATGCCATTCTGTGGAACATGTATGTCCCATAGCTGAGCGGAGGTTTTCAGCTGTCTGTAACATAACCAACAAGATGAATGAACCACTTCAGTTCTCACCTACCTTGCCCTTGTGTTAACATTACAATTACCCTTGACTTAGGGTCCTAATACACAACCTCTATAAGTGTTAAATTATACAATGTAATATTGTGAATGTCAAGGTTCTAAGTTTGATGTTAGTGGCTCATTGCAAACGCATCTATTCCTCCACATCCACCTACACAAATGAAACTGAAATACAATTACAGCGTATTAACATCACAGCTGCTGCTAGTGGGGCATCCATCATCAAAACTTTCTATCTCCTTTTATTACCGAGTGGGTTGTTACTGTAAAAAGAAAAAAAAAGAGAGAGAGAAACCTCAGGAGTCTAATGAGAAGTGTGTGGGCGACGGAGAGAAGCGCAGAGAAGATGTATGTGCGAGTTACAAAGAGCAAGACAGTGACAGATGAGAAGAAGGGGCTTGTGGGTAATTAAGGCTGGTATTAATGAAAGGAGCACTGTGTTGTGGGCAGGAAAGACAAGTGGAGAAGGCTGAGGGCAAAGGGGTAGAGTTTGCAGAGTAACAAGTCCATTCTGGTATGCATGGTGGGCTAATAGGAATCTAACAATACCGTTTTGCATGAATTATTGTATTGGGGCTGCACTTGTATATCGCAATAGAAATCTGTTTTTAAATCTTTAAATCTTGTTCAAGTAGTTAACAAACACGTTCTGAGATTCATGGAGTTTTTATATTAGTTCATCAGGTCATAGTTCAGTCTTCTCAAATGTTAATGTTTCTGGAGTTGTTTACAATGTGCATGCTGAACAGATTCCTACTTTTTAAATATAAATCGCAAATCTAATAACAATTGCAATACTTGCCACTATCATGCAGCCATATGTTGTATTGTCTTGAACTGTTAGCGCTCATGTGCCTAATGCTTTGTTTTTGCAGCACTTTGAAATTTAATTATAATTTTATTAGTTAAACAGGTTTATCAAATTTCTATCGTGGGCTTTTTCATTCACTTTTGAATCTCTGCGGAGGTAAACTACACTGGTAGCAACAGCTGGGATTCACTAGTCTAGACTGGGGGTTTGAAAATTTAAGTTTGAAATTGTTTTGGAAGGGAAACTACAGAGAATGAGTCAGATTGTCTCATTTAGTTTAGGATGTGTTTCATAAAGGGGGGCAGAACTTGGTGCATCAGGTACATCCACAGTCTTTTGAGTAAATGTGGCATTTGCTTAATACAGGTGGAGAAGTAATTCATTAGAGTTGTGGCTGCCATTCTGTGCCAAAGGCATATTAGAACATCACATGACATTCAGACTGGCGAGGTGGTGAAGTGTCTTTCCCAATCCAAATGCTGGAGTTTGACCACTAGTATTTTGGTGTTGAGGCAACCACTCCATCAAAAGCAGTATCTCACAAAAAATGAGAAGGGCAGGTGCCACAAAGAACAAAATACTATTAAAGTGATGTTTCAGTCTTAATTCTTTTAACCTTCACAATAATTATTACAAGCCATGAAAATGAATATGCTTGTAATGTGGACACTTAACCTTGGCAAAGGTTAAAAAAAAAAGAAGCAGTCAATAGAGGTCTGGGACACTGTTACGTAATTACGTCCAAAGTCCTCTATTCGGTAAATGTGATGAGCTAACGTGTTTTGACACTATTGTGTTGTTTTAACTTTTGCCAAAGGAAATTAAATTACAGGCCTAGTCATTTTCAGTCATTGCAAGCTTTTGGCCTTGCCCTTGAAGAGAACTAAGAAAACCCTCTGGAACACTCACACTTCCTGTGCTTTTTAATAATGATTACACTTCAGGCTTTCAATCTTGCATCATGAGATAACAGTTGCAGCCCAAGTACACTACTGTTGTGTTTGGCCATCTGTGACTGAACCTTGCATCTCCATTTTGGTCAGTTTAAAAGGCCCATATTGTGCTATTTTCTGGTTTATGTTATAATGTTTTACATCAAAAATATAGTTGTGAGAGTTGTGTTTTTTTCATTCACACGTTTAACACACAAACCCGGCATATTTAGGCTTAGTTTTTCTCTCAGATAGAACACACATTGTTTCGCTTTGTAATGTCATATGGTAATACGGAACATGCTCCAAAGTGTTTTTAAACTCCATACACTTTCACTAGAATAATTTGGATGATTTCATCCCTGGAATCTTGACTAAACAAAAGGTGAAAGAAGGCTGTGAAATGGAAAACTACCACTTCACTACGTTATAAGGTGGAACAGAGCATTTTGAGCTTTGGAGATTTAAATAGACTAATAATAAATTATTACTCAAACATAAGTGAATGAAACAAAACACAACTCCAGGTCTGTATCTGATGAGGTTACAGCATTCTAACAGGATTCTATTTTGTGGGATCTTTAAAGTATGAACCTTTTTGCTCCCCTGGTGAAGTTTCAAGAATATCACTAGCACCTTGCACATTCCCTGCCCTCATGATATATGCTAATATATGAATTCTTCTGTGTGTTTATTAGAAACGCTGTTGTCTGCACCCTTGAACGTGACCATCCGAGAGATCGAGGTGAATTCGGCGGTGGTCACATGGGAGATTCTGGAGGGGGACCCGGTCATCGGATTCGCCATCACACAACAGGTGAGAGTAGTGAATTTTTTATGACTATGCTACATACTCTACACTTATCCAGAGGGATCTCATTTGTAAAACAGAGTGTGGGGATTGTAGTTCAAGGCATCATCAATAATTAAAGATTGTCACCGTGCATATTACAAATCACTAAACCAGTCATTCTTTGTGGAATCGTGTCAATCCAAATGATACCTGATTTTCCATAGGGCTTTGTTACTTAATTTATTCACATGTTCCAGCTTCCTGTTATTTGGTGACATTTTTGCATGATTGACCATTCAAAAGATATATTCTGTGTTGAGTTGTTAATTACTATGGCAACAGTTCTAACTTTCAATCATTCTGAAACCCATGGGTAGACATTAGGGATGGGGTGAGAGACACAATTCTTACAAGATGAGACACAACAATGACAGACATTTTATTATTTTGCTATAATTGCAGCAGTGCTTTTTAAACCACTATGGCTTTTCATAGACAAATAGATGTAACTCAAGATCTTGTTCCATCCCAAATAGACATAAAATATGTCACAAGAAAACTGAGATGACTTGACTAGGTTGTCTGTGAGTGCTGCATTGTGCTGCCTCTGTGCAACTTGAGTGAATGAGGACAATTTCAAACTCAAACTCTTTTGCCCCAGAAATGTAACCTTTGTTATAAGATTTATCTGCCACAGTACCAAATATTAATGTTTTAATGTTTTTATGAATATTTTAAAGTATATGGTACAATGTAGTAACTACTATTTACAGCCTTAATGAAGCATGAATAAAGACTTAATTCATTATGAACAAATAGTTCATAAAGGTTTTATATAATTAGGCTGTCTACATCTCCAGAGATCAAAATGCTCTGTTCCACCTTGTGATGCCATGTAGAGGGCTGCAGTTATCCATATGATTTAGAGAATGTGTGTGGAGTTTAACAAGTGGAGCACTTCCTGTATTACCACATGAGATCATAAGGTGGAGCAGAGTATTTTCTGTTTGAGAGAAGAACCTAAATATAAAGTGCTTGTGTGGTAAGCATGTGTGAATGAAACAAAACACAACTCTGGGTATGTTTTTGACCATACAACATTATAATGAAAATAGTGCAATATAGGCCCTTTAATTACCTATTTGTTCAATACTTTCTCATGCTTTATTATGCCAAATTAAGATGTAGTTAGAGCTGCCAAGATTGCTTATTCACCGTTACATGCAAATAAGTATAATTTGCAAAGCATTTGAAAACCAAGACATGAATTGTAGATTAGATAAGCTCTCCTTGCTCACCTATGGTGTGGTGGACAGTCAAAATATCTTCTCTGGCCTCCAGGGTCTTTGATTGTTCTAAACTTCTTTAGAGCAATTATTCAGCTTGGAGAAAAATAACCATTAACCCGTAATAATTAAATCTGAAATTCTGTCATACTTTTCACACTAATTGCATAAAAATGGTCTTACTAGTTTTCGGTAGTGGTGCATGTAGTACAGTATGCTTTGTGCTTGCATTTCCAACAGGCTCAGTCCAGTCTTGTTTTAATTGTGCGGTAAATAACGCTGGCCCTGGGAGATCTCTTGGGCACCAATTGACCTGAGGCAGCAGTCCAGGCCCGATAACAATGTAGGTTTTCACTGGAGCCTTCCCTATGCAGCCGCTGAATTACTGCTTCTTTTAGCATAATTACACCGCACTAAAAACTCTGGGCTTACTGAACTTTTTCTCAAGCACTTAACCAAAGGACTTTCTCTCAGACTGTAGAAGGGGGAGGGGGTAAATTACTTTACCATTGGAAATCTTCAACTCTTAAAGTGAGCACTCTGTTTGCAACAGTGTGCTATAGGAAGTAAAGTCAAGTCCAAATATATGAAACTATGTCTAATGCATCAAAGCAGCTAAAAGTTGGAATAATACTGGGTATGTAAATTATTCATCATTATTACTGGTTTCTATGCATATGACAAAATTTGTCAGTGATATAAAGTCAAAACCCAATTATAGCATATATAATAGTATTGCCTAAAAAGGTAGTTTCACTTCATTAGTACTATGTCTCCTGCATTAAAATGTGTCTTTGTCACTTAATTAGAGATGATCAAATTTAAAGACTGGTCTTTTTGTGTTTTTGCAGGAGGTAAAAATCATAAAACATAGGTTTATATCTGTTAACAAAGTGAATGCTCTTGCAATTTGCAATTACAGATATGAATCAAGGTCAAGTTGAACGGAAATTAATAAATCAGACTCTTGACTAATGCCTAGAAGCAGCTTATTAAAAGAAGCACTTGTTTTATGCATCACTGTGACCCTGACCTGTGACTCCTGTGCTGAGATGCTGCCAAACAAAAGACAAAGTCATCCTTCTTAATCTCTCCATCTCCCCCCTCATGTTCTGTGCCTGTTTGTGCAGAAGAAGGATGTGCGGATGCTGCGCCTGATCCAGGAAGTGAACACCACCACGCGCTCCTGCGCCCTATGGGACCTGGACGAAGACACCGAGTACATCGTCCACGTGCAAAGCATCAGTATGGGAGGCAGCAGCCCACCCAGTGAGCCGGTGCTCTTCAGAACACCCAAGGAGTCCGAGAAACTGGCCTCACAGAGTCCAGGTGAGGGAAGACAATACTATAGTTTTCAGTAGTGATATAAAGGACACATACATTCTGTTGTTACTCTGTGGTTTCTTATGTTTTAGAACTTAAAATGTCTTTTTATAATAATGTATTTTTTTAAAAATAGAAAATATTCTGAACTCTGTCTGCACTTTCTCATCTGTATTTGGTGTTATCTACAGCATAGAGAATTACCATGAAAAAAGCTAGTCATTTTGCAATGTGGCTCAGCATGCTAAGAAAGTAGACAGTTCCAATGAACATGATTTGAGTGCAGAATGTGGTGATTTACAGACTTCAAACAGAGCTGGAGACTTCCAGGTTTCTCATTTGAAATCTGGGTATTAAGTAATTTCTGAGACTCAGAACAATACAACCCCGTAAACAGGAAAGAAGCAAGAATGAAGTAAAATAAAGCTTCAACTATGTTTAACATCGTTAACAGCTCAGAAAAGTCAATTTTGCATAATGTGTCCTTTAAGAAACAAATATTATGCATAATTTATATTGTTGTTGGCCTTTAAACATGCTCTTGAGCTTTGGCATTTCATGATTTAGATAGATATAATGCCTAATTAAAAAAACACACATTATTGCAGTCACAATCTACTAGCATGAGAGGGAAGTACTATGTGGAAAACAATTCAATTAAGTAATTATGAACATGACCATGAACATAAGCATGAAAAAAAAATTACAATTTGATGTCAGAAATGCTTAGAATAAGTCTCACAATGGACTTGAGCACAGGCTCTCCATCTGTGTATGAAATCCCAGGTATTTTTAAAATAAAGGAACAACATTTTTACATCGCTCGAAAAAGCTAATTTTGCACATGTGTTTTTTAGTTACTTCTTCCCAAAACCTGTGGACTTGGTGACAAAAAGCAGGACATGGAGAAATATGAGGAGGCTGATGGTTTTGCAGCTGCGTTGGAGATGGGAGTGTAGGGTTGTTGAAATAAAAAGGAAATGAGAGAGAGTGCCTGTATATGAGGTGTTTTAATGATTTTAGTGATTAAGTGGTGAAAAGTAGAAGCCTGTGTTTGGCTGATGAGATGAATGAAGCAGGAAGTACTTTTCATAAAAAGTACATAAACATTGCTTACTTTGGTGTGGGTAGCTATACAGTTTTAACTTAATGAAATGTGTGTCATGTAAGGGTGAATATTTTCTAGATTTGACAGTATTTTGGCTCTGTTGTTGTTTTACCATGGCTGCAAAAATAGTGCAAAAAACCTTTTGCATTTATACTGCTCTGAATCTGTCAGTCACAACCATGAACTATGCATACTAAACTCTCAGCATTCACTTTCTAGGTTGCCTTACGCAGTCACTGTTGAGTTTATATTAGTTTTAGTTTGTTTTTAGTTTTTTTTTTTTTTTTGTTTTTTTTTTCATTTTAATTAATTTTTTTTTTTTTAAGTTAAAGTTGTAAAACGCTCTCTGACTTATTTAGAAACAACATTGCATCGCAAAAGAAACTGAGATACCATTGGGATCATATACTGAAGACTTAGTTAAAGTTACCCTGCATATTTAGGCTGAGTTCTCTCAAAATGAAAACACTTTCTTCCACCTTGTGATGTCATGTGGTAATACAGGAAGTGCTCCCCTGTGTTTCTTAAACTCCATACACTGTCACTAGAATCTTTTTGATGATTTCAGCCCCGGAATTACCAACCTCTACTGAACTAAAGATAAAAGGTAGCTGTTAACTTGAAAACTACTACATGACACCACAAGGTGGAACATGGAGTACTTTGAGCTTTGTAGATGTAGACATACACAAATAATGCAGAATTACTCAAACGTGTGAATGAAACCAATCACAAATCCAGGTATGTTTTTGAGAAGGTAACAAGATTCTAACATGGCTTGACACTCAGAAGTCAATTTTGCATAATACAGGACCTTTAAAACATGTACTTATCTAAGCACACATCTGTGCACAGATGCAGTTATGATATCAGATATTTAAGAAAAATCCTACATACCTTATCTTGCGTTTCCATAAATGTGTAAGCCCAGATTCACCATGATACTACTAAACTCAAAAATGTGCTGGGAATGATATAATCTAAAACCATGAAGCTTTCTACCTCTTCAGCCTCTGAGACACTTCTGTAGGTCATAAAAAATTCAGAGGGATCAGGGCTGTGTGAGAGCTTGGTTTTGCAGACAGTCACAGGCAGGTGGGCACAGTCAGACAGACGGTTAGTGGTTAGCAGTGAAGCAGTGATAATAATAGTGTCATGGCTGATTAATATGAGCTTAAAAAGAGGAGGAGAGCTGTAATGGCATGTAGATCTAATCACACGTAATGAATGCCCCATAAAACAACCATATAGAGAACTTCTATCAAAGTTAGACTCTCTCTGCTTCACACCTTGAAGACTATAGGGCTGGTCACATGCAAATAGGTATTGTAAGATTTTGTGGAAAACGCAAACAAGGTGGTTTGGTACTAATTGTTATGGCTGTGATTTTCCAAATAAGTATTAAATCAACCACGGAAATTATTATCTTGTGGCTTTATAATGCACAGGTCTATCAGTCAATGTAGCAGTAAAATCATGAAGGATTTTTCTTTTTTAAACTTTAAGGTACTGCATGCTTTTCTGGTGGGTTGTTCAACTGCTTGTCTCCATGCCTTTTTTTTTTGCCTGGAATGCTCCACAGCACAGCATTAACCATATGTATCTTCCATTTGTTTTATTTCAAGTACAGCTTTTTATTGCTTAAAAAATTATGCATGCATTCTTCAGGTGAGTGTGGTTGCCTCTCTACAGATCTGACCTGAACTTTAAGGTAGATAAATTCAATCTTCAACTGTGGAACATTCCAGATGATGCAATAATATCTTCATGGAGGCCGGTGATGAAAAGTATGCACCTTTAAGTTGAAGTTTATTTACATATTTTGTTCATGATCATTATTTTAGCTATTGGACAAAAAGGAAGTGTGCATTACAATCAGTTAGTATGTGGTAAGAAAAGATACATGATCATTTGCTAGATGTGTTAAAAGAAACTGAAGTGGTGGAAATGTGTAGTTTGTACATGGTATAGAACGTTTTAACTGCTAGTCCAGGGAGGCCATATTGATAGTGATGAAGAGAAGGTGATGGAGAGGCTGAGGCGGCTGGTCTTTCTGCTACTACGGTGGAGGATAAAGAAGGGCTGTGCATGTTACTTAAACAGCTGGACGACTGCTGGAAGAGAGAGTGCATTGATTTGAATGGCTTGAAAAGTGATCAAAAGGCTATGGTGACTGCCAGCAATTTTAAAATTATGTTCATTAGCGCTCAGGATGCAGCTATTTTTACCATTCAAATGTACATGTTGCTTTGCGTCACTCGCTGAATGCACCATTAGAGTTTATTATGTTATTGAGGTGTTTAACAAGTTCAGTTATTTGGATAAATTACCTCTCTAATTTGGATTCATTAGCATTTATTACCGTGCCATTTCCGCTCTCATTTAGAATCTGTTTGTCCATAACTGAAACTTTATAAGCTCATGTGCTAGCTGTGCACGACTTTGGCTATGACTCATACAGTTCAATAACCCTAAAGCCATCCCTCAGAATGCCAGCCCCGCCTGCTCCAAAACACCATCTTTTAAATTTACTTTCACATTTTGTCTGTTTAGCCACAAAACCTATTTAATATATTTTGGGGCAGAATTCTAGCTTCAGATTTTCCTTCCTCAAGAGTATTGGCCAAAATTGAAGCAGGTCATAGAGAATTTGATTTGTGTGTCTCAAAAAAGCAGCAAATAGTGCATCACAGTAGTGGCACATTTTTCTTTTCAGTCAATTAAGTTCCTTTTTTTTTTTTTTTTTTTTTTTTTTTCTTGAATTGTTTTCATTTATTTGCTATTTCAGTGTTCAAAAAATCTATACCAATTTTTTTCTAAAAGATATTCTAAAACTAATATTAAAACGGGATACTTATTTGAACAAGTATGGGCTCAAAAATTCACGTAAGTAGGACGAATATTAACATAATATTAAATAACTATTATTTTGTGTTGAAATTTATATTGTATTGCTAGGAAATTATGTTTTTTATTATGATTGTTGTATCAAGGTTCGAAACTTGAGTTTGCCCAAGGACACAGCAACAGTGGGGACAGTTTTCACACTGTCAGCCTTCAAGTTTTAAAATGGCCACTACCACCTGAGCCACTCTCCACCAGTTTACACCCAGTTAAGTCATGATAAAGTTTGGGAGTCTAGTCTAGTCTAGTCTTGATACTATGGGATGGCACTGAACTGCAACAAATAAATAACTGAATGAACCAAAAATAAGCCATAGAAATCACTTATTGAACCTTTCGCAGCTCAGATCTTATTGTGTTATAACAAAAATACACCAAATCTCCCTATTTTATAAACAAATTGATGATAAATACACATAATAAATATTGAGTCCCAAAATATATTGTTCTAGCTTTCATATATTGACTGATATGTCAATACAGTAATTACCGCAACAGGCCTAATTGGAGAACCAAAATCTTCTACTTCAAACTTGTCTACAGCCTCTTTTGAAAAATGCTCAACTATTTTCACATCAGCCACCCATCCATCACTATAGTATAGCATAATATTGATGGATTTTGCAAAGTTATAATGTCATTCCAATAATCCTGAAGTGCATGTCTTGGCCTTTTAATCAACTTGTACAAGAACGCATATGCCAATAACACAGCAATTGGAGGCAGTATAGGCTTGCCATTAGGATGCATTGTGAGTGATTGCAACTGGCCATCTTAGTATGCAAAGTGAAACAGTCGTGCAGTGAATCTGAAATGTTTTCCGAGCTCAGCAACCCCACGAAGAGAGGGATTTTCACTGATTACATGCACAAACCTGTCAACTATAATGACTATATCATCTTATTATTTAATATACGAAAGCTGAAGCAATATTTTTTAGGGCTCAACATTTATTGTGTGTTGTCTCTGCACTTGTGGGGATTTGTAGTGCCATAAGATAAGTCAGGAGTTGAATAAGTAACTTCAGTATTGTCCTGCTTTAGAGTTATTGTGTCAGCGGTGTAGTGTAGTTTCGAGATTATTTTTTATTGTGATATTTTTTATGTACCGTATTTTTCAGATTATAAGTCGCACTTTTTTTCATGGTTTGGGTGGTCCTGCGACTTATACTCTGGTGCGACTTATGTATTAAAATTTTCAGACTGACAGCCGCGAGAGGGCGCTCTAGGCTTGTGTGTCAGTATCTAGTACTACTATCACTCCTGTACCACTGTCACTTTGCACTCTACTGCGCAAGTCTCCTGCAGAAAAAGCCCACTGTCCGCTGCAAATAGTGAAATATACAGCCGAAAACGGTAATTGAGCAGCAGAAAAAAAGTTTGGAGTGAGTGAGAAACATGTGGGGGACTGGCGGAAAGGGGGGATGGAGAACACAGCTTGACGGCAACCGGGCGGGTGTGCCATGTAACTTTCCTGGAAGTCACTGGATGAATCGACAAAGCCTGAACTTCAATGACAATTGAAACCATCCTGTCGGGATTCAGAAAACCAGAATAATTCTAACTGGAACCAATGCCAAGTCTGACAACAGCTATACAGAAGAGGAAGCGGTGCTCCGTTTATATCATGGATCTATGGTTTATCTCTGGAGGTCGCGCAGAAGTGACACCGAGGATAAAGAATTCAATGGATTTAGTGATTTGGTGTGAGATCGTGAGTTTGGTAAACTTATGTTATGTTGTTTATGCTATAGTTATCTGGATAACTGTTAATGTGTTGCATTTACATGTTAACACCTATGGGGCCTGTTGTTCTCTGTTCTGTTGTTATTACTATACTTGCCTTTCAAGATGAAATGTCAGTTTCTGGTCTCTGATTTTATAAGATACATTTCCTCAAAAAGTGTAACTTATAGTGTGCAACTTATATATGTTTTTTTTTTCGTCTGCATTGCACATTTTTTGGCTGGTGCAACTTATACTCCAGAGAGAGTTATAGTCCGGAAAATACCGTAATTGATTGGCTACATAGCAGTTGATATTAGTGTTTACTTTGGGTGTAGGGGATGAAGCTAACTGGAAGGACTGGTCTGTTTGCGGCTCTGTTATTCAAATTAGATTTTAATCTAAAGAACTGACTTGAAATAACAACAGGCGAGCTGATTTGTATTGTTAACTTGCACATTTTTTATTGAAAATGTAACATCTATGAAAGCGTGTATTGATCACAGGCTCCTGAAAATCAATTTAAATCCATTTTGTGTTTTTTCTTATCAGCCCGTATTTGCTAATGTGTGGATTGTGTCACCATGGTAACTCATATCTGAAATTCCTTCATACATGCTGTACCTCCCCAAGGTGATGTCACTGTATCAATATATCACACTTGAAAATGTATTATCGTGACAGGCCTACTCTGTTGGTTCTGTGTGGAGCTTTGCAGTGCCCATAGCTGCTGGTCTTGGCTCTGTAACTGTGTCGGACATGATAAAAATGGAATAGCTGCTACATGAGATAAGGTTAGTCTGTGCAGTGAAGAAAGACAATGGGAGGTATAGAGTGCTACGCTACAGCTGATTGGATTAGGGAGTGAATATGCTCTGTACAGTCAGTAAGGGCCACAAATCAATTGGAGCTGCCCGTAAATGTCTCGATGAAATGTGTCTATGTGGATTTGATAGGGTTGCGTTATATGCATTCTGTGCGTGTGCCAGATTGGAACAGGAGGGGTACTCTCATGCTTAGTTTTACAATGCCGTGCTAACTGTAATGCAACATATAAAATGAAAATGGAAACACGTAAAATGTATTCCTGAAGCCAAGGCTGGTCACAAAATATAGATGATCAATTTTACCTGCTGTTTTCACTGTGAGCCGTAGGAGGATACAATTACAATACAATATAGACAATTTAGAGAATTTATTATGGAATAGGTGCTGAAGATTGATGATAGTAGTAGACGTAATCACAGCAGATGGTCTCATGTTATGGTTGGTAGTTATATATGAAAATACAACAAATTGCATTGGTCGAGCTGCATTATCAACCACAAAGATGCCCTTGAGAAACACTATTAGTCATTGTGGCACCGTTAGAACACATACATTTGTTTTGAATTTTGCCTTATAGAATATAGTGTATTATATTCTATATTATATTATATAATGTACTATATATTATATACCTTCAGTCTAAGGTTATGCAGTAACTAAGTAAAACACATTAAACAGACAAGTTAGCCTATGAAGTTCATGACTTCAAGGTTATGACATTTAATTGACACAACATGCCAGTTCTCTTGACCGATAAAGCACTTGAAAAAGAAATTAATCAGTTAACAATAAGTGTGCTTATTCAGGTCTCAATATAATTTTATGAACTGAAAAATAATAATTGTGAGAATTTTAGAAGCAAAAATAAGTCATATCAATTTGGTATTCTTTTGAACAGGGTGAACGACAGTGAAGGAAATGTTTTTTTGGGTCATGGTGCTGAAAATTATTGTGAAATTGTCATGCTTCTTCTCATAGTAATTGTAATACTAAAATTTGATATTGTGACATCCCTACTGACACATTATTGCCGCAGTTGAATCTCAGTTGAAACCTTTAGCCCTGTGATTGGTGAGTGCTGTCAGCAAATGATGTAGATCTGGCTATCCCTGTCTCATGATCCTCCCCCTCTCCCCTCTCTCTCTTTCTCTCTCCCCATCTCACTTACCCATAAACACAGTCCGACCTGCATCATTCCTCCTGCTCTAATGGCTCTAACGGTGTTCTGTGTGCCCCCCGCAGGTGAGGAGGAGTTCGCTCACGCCGCACAGCTCCGGGCCGGGGAGCTCATCATCATCGTGGTGGTACTGGTCATGTGGGCAGGTAATCCTCCAGTACAATGTGCATCTATCACCTCTCACAGTGGAGCAGACCCAGTGTCTGTGCAGAGCTGAGCCGGAGGTCCCATTAGCAGACAGGCACACAGCACTAGCAGTCATTTCTCACTGCGTTGCCCTGCAGGTTTAGGATGAGTCTAATGTGAGCTGGATAGATTTCAGGAGACAGGCTGATATTACAACAGCTGCCTAAAACTTTTTCTCTGTGTAGGTTACTGTGTATTGCTTTCTCATATTAAAAAGGCATTATTTTTGCACCACACTATTGCTTAAAGGTCTTATATTACCAAAATTGACTCTTGTGAGCTTTAAGCCATGTTATAAATCTGTTACATCCACAAAAAAACATCCCTGAAGTTGTCACACATGTTTGAGTAATCCTTTATTTTTATTCTGTTTACATCTTTAAAGCTCAAAATGCTCTGTTTTCAGCCTTCAGTTTCAGAACTCAGCCTAAATATGCAGGGTTTGTGTATTAAATATGTGTTAATGAAACAAAACACAACTCCAGGCATGTTTTTGACCAGAAAATAGTGAAACATGGGCCCTTTAATACTTACTTAAACATATGTCCTTATTGCATGAGGGTGGGAAAAGGTTTCGGGCCACAAAATCTTGCGAGACAAATTTACCACAAGATTATGAACGCATGAGGAAAACTATCTTGTGATTTTCTTTCTTCTTTTCCCACATGTTTACATTTTGTTTGGACAAAAAGGGTTAAATGCTCGATAGTTCCAAAAAGCAGTGTGACCACAACAGCAAGAACACTAAATCAAAATCGGTGCGGTCAAATCTGTGGACTAAACTGCATAATTCATTTGATTATAAATTATGCAAAAATCTGGCTTTGTTCTTTTGGACCCAATCTTGTGTCTTGTGGAAATTGTGTCCCATCCCACCACTACTATTTCATCTACATATTTGAGAGTTCAAAGAGATAAAGGCATATTGAGAGGTTTATTAAACACAGAAAAGTAGATATAAGGGTATGCAACTGACTGGACTTCTGTTTATTCCTGTAACAATTGCGTTTATATATTGTAGTGTTAGTCTAGTGACTTGTGATGGGGAGTCTAAGTGAAATTTCTGCTAAGCTACACTGTAAGATTAAAGTTTAGCAGTTAACTACAACATTTTTGAGTAGACTTAAAGGTGCATTGTTTAACTTTTCTGATGGAGGGTCTGTCAGGTTTTTCTTCATGGACATACATTGCTTTGTCTGGAATGTTTCACAGTATGGTCTTAAACCTTTGAATTTTCATGGAAACCAAACCAGACCAAGTTCCAGGTCACATTTATGGAAAGGCAACCCCGCCTACAGTCAGAATGCCTGTTTTTCTAGGTATTTTTGAGATATAAAACCACCTGTAATCTAATAAATGTAAGGTAGAGCTGTTTAATGTCATACTGTGGAACATTCCAGGTAGAGAAATGACATACAAGCAGGTGATGGACCCCCATCCAAAAATGTACATAGTGCACCTTTACCAAAAATCAGATATTATTTTAAATAGTGTTATGCCTAAAATAGTAATCTGTTGTACTTTGTCTCATTTAGCCAACAATATCTATTATACACCACACAAGTCGACTCTAAAAATTATGTTCCTACCTCTTACTGACTTGCTTACTCTGATTATGAAAATGTCTTGTTAGTTATCCAATAGAATACCATAGAAATACATTGTCTTAATGTTCTTAAACCATTAAATTTGGCTTTTGTCAAACACAGTTGTAGTAAGCAGTAACTTAAATTGCAGTGAGATATTTGGCATAACTTTGGCTTCATCTTCCCAAACATTGTAAATCTATTAACACAAGATGTTTACAACGCAGTAGACACAAGGAAAAATATATGCATACTTTAACACCCACTGTGTAAAACTCCCACAATAGACACACTGCATAGGGTGAAAATACTGTCAAAAGTCAACCCAAGAACAGTGGGATTACTGTATTCCTAGTTCTCTGATATAGACATGCAAAAATGCCTGCCTTCCTGCTAACCCACTTACAGAGCCTAATGAGATACAAATATGGCCTGAATACTGTATATAGCATTCTATAACAGTGCCTACATGTCCCCTGCCAATTACCCTGGAGGAGAAGAGTTCAAATACGAGTTGTACACAGAGCTAGCGTTGAGTAAAAAACAAGATGGTGGACAGAAAAACATGATATGAAGGAGTGGAGTTTTTGAGCTTTAATTGAGCCTGCAGGGCACGCTTGTGGGAGATCACAGCCAGATTACCCATCATGCCCTTTTTGTGTATCTCTGATCACTTGGTACAAACAGAACGCAATACAGAGGCTTGTTTGGGCAGACTTTGCTACTTCGGGCCGCTTATACGCTGAATAATTGTTTTTAACACAGCCCGCCTCTATCACTAGTAGCATCTCTCCCAGCTGTTTTAACACAGATAGCTCAGTGGCTCATATCTTTATTTGACTTTAATTTGAGGATCACATTGCTGCACCATTAGATAAGTGGGAAAGTGCTTACAGCTTAAAACTGACAAATTAGGATCGTTGCATAATAGTTCTTCACTTTTTGATTGTGGAATTTTGGGCATTGCAAGTCTCAGGACAATATTACAGACATCTTATGGGCTGAATTGTAATAAACTGCGTATTGATTTTAGATATATATTTGTCTTTGTCAGAAATTAGATTCCATTAATGACTATGACTGCTCTAAACTGTAAAAATGTGTACAATCAACAGTATTGATTCAGTTTAATTAAACTTTATAGAAAGCAGAATCTTGCAAGTCATATTGTTTTATTAGTGCGATAAAAAGGAGCTTCACAGTTATATGCTATTGATCTCCACATGTATATTTTATTAATCTAAGATGAGTTCTTTTCAGTTACTACTACTACAGTTAGTAACTTACCTACTTACTTTTCACGACCAAAACTTTTCCTTCTTTGTTTTACTTACACACTTAACTTAAGCTATACAATATTAAATTATTTGAACCTTTGTATTTCTTGCACTGCTTCTTCAATTTTACTTTCATTCTCTGTGTTTTATGCATTTTTTCATGTTTTGTGCTTCCAGTTACATTAGTATATAAAAATATAAATCATATCTTATGTCCAAACAGTTACTTCTACAGGTTGCAAGCTACAATCACTATTACTAGAGGAGCTAATTGTTTCCATAACAATTTTTCAGTCTTTCTTGAGTAATTTTGTGGAACATTACTTTGTACTTTAACTCAAGTAATATTATTTTGAAATAACAATAACGGTGGGCTACACCAGTGGTTCCCAAAATGGGGGTAGCGACCCAGGAGAGTGGGTGGGGGTCGCGAGATGATTTCCAGAATTTTTTATTTTTTTTCAAATACAATTATTATCATTATTATTTTTTACTTTAGTTCATATGTGAAACATACCCTCTACTGTTGCACACTCTCGGACAGTGATGTTAATTCCTATTTTAAAACACGTACTCACCTATGTGAATATATGTCATCTGCCCAGTTATAACTAAAGACAAATGCTCAAACAAATGTACCAGACCCGCGCCTTGACCTCCCACATGGACCTATACGCATTTCACTTTCCTCACATACACACTGCTGCAGCCCATCATATTTGCGGGGGCACTCCTTGCGAACATGAGGTTCTGTTTGTGTAATGTGTTAAAATCATGATTTGTTTTACTATTTACACTCAAGTGCACTGGTTAGGACCTGTTTGAAATGGCCTATGCACTCATAGGATTGCACATATAGAAGCTTTAGGAGAGTTTGGGACTAAAGCACCTGGATCACGGAGCGAGGAGCACCTGGCGCAGCTTGTACGTGCTCAGAATGTCTCCGTCCAGGTGAGAAGCTTTGTTTTTGCGCCGTATTGGTGTGTATGATTCGTGACATCTGTCATTCTCGCTGGAGCATCATTTGTGTAGCACAGGACACCATGCTCCCTTTTCACGTCCCTCCCTGCTTTAATTTGGCTTTATTTGCATAAGGTTTAAAGTTGTCCTCTTTGTGCAAGTATAAGACACTCAAACACAAAAGTCCACTACTGTAGTTGCTACAGAACATGCCCAACTCACCCTCACCAAATTTACTTCTCTTTACTTCGTATAATTGAGTTACCCTTAACAAGTCGACCTGTGCATCACTAACGCCCAGGCCTATGTGAACAAGATGCCCAGAACGTAAACACCCAGGGTACTTGTACGTTACTAACTGCTTCACATTCATAAAGAGCTGAGATTAAAGAGATGAACTCACCAAAGAATATGTTTTTTTTGGCTTTACCTCTATGTGTGCTGTGTTCTTTCAGTATGGTGTTACAGGGAAGGAGAGGCCGTGTATGTGTGTTGGTTTTCAGCAGTCTAATTTGGGGGGTCGCTGTCTGAAAAGTTTGGGAACCCCTGGGCCACACCACCCACTTCTGTATATGCTTACAACATTCACATTAGTGGTACAGCTGGTTCAATTTATTTTAATTAAAATTAATGAATCATATTGCCATTTCATTATTTAGTATTGCATAGGTATAAAAGTGGTTGATGTTTTGCAAATGCATCCCAACAAAGTACCATTAAAAATGAATGTATGTATCAGTTGTAAACATGCATATGAATATTGTTCATGTTGTGGAGCTCATGTTTAACCCTGTACCTGTGTCCCAGGGGTGATCGCTCTGTTCTGCCGTCAGTATGACATCATCAAAGACAATGAGCCCAACAACAACAAGGACAAAGCCAAGAACTCCTCAGAGTGCAGTACTCCCGAGCACCCACAGGGGGGGCTACTGCGAAGTAACGTGTGAAACCAGCCCTGCATCGCCTTCTGCAATAACTGATTCTTCCAACCTCAGGACTGGTAAGGAGTTTTTATTGGGTTAAAGTCCTATTTTTTCACCATAACATTGAAAAAACAGATCTAATTAGTCTGGACTTTAGTGTGATATTGTTCAAAAGTATCCACTGTAGCTTCGTAGTGAGATGTTCACCTACTAACCAAAGAGTTGACAGACAGGTTCCAGTGATCATACTGTCATTGTGCACTTGTGCAAGGCACTTCACACACCTTGTCTAAGCATGTGAATGAGTTATAAGAGACTATAGGTACAAAATGGCTGCCACTACTTTCTCCATCTGCCCCAGGGCAAGAAGTAGGTCTGTGGAGTATGTCTATAATCTGTATAATCTGCCTTTTCTGTCTATATTTATCTTTTGATTTCCTATTATATGTTTTTTATCCCATTTAGCAAGCAAACAAAAGCAATAGCTTGACTCAGAGGCAAAAATTTCAAATAGTCCATTGTATTTTAAAAGATTTTTTTCAGTAACAGTAGCAGCAAGCCTGGCACCAAAGGCGATGCGGTCAGCATTCTCTCTGTTGCGCTATGGATTCAGAAAAGTAAAACCGTTTTCCTCACACTAGAGAGCAATATGTCAATAGAATGAAGAAATAAAATGTGATAGTAGTTTTTAGGACTATAGCACCACCAGATTTAGAGGTAAAACACCATAACTGCTTTGAGGCTTGTTTTACCAGTGGACACATTGACAACCCCCACATCCTATTTCTATCAGACTGCTATGATGTACAAACAAAGTAATTTATATGGATTACAATGGTTGGCAAGATTATTGAATGTGATAATTAATCCTGTGCGGTAAGCATATTGCAATTTCCAGAAAGATTTTCTGTGATGGAGGGACCGTTTAGCATTTATGGTGTGTTCACCTTAATTTATATCATATTTACACCTTATATTAGCTATTTAAAACTTAAATGTACAGTAAGTAACTTTCTGGAGGATGTGGCAGGTCAAAGTTTTATGTCATATTGTGAAATATTATAGCAAAAAAATTTCAATAGAAACAAGCAGGAGGACACCCTTCTTCAGGCCAAATAAGAGTCAGGTATGTGGAGAGCAAGCCTGCTCAAAGTTTTTGTAAATTTTTCAAATTTTATTTGGCTAAAAAAAGTTTAAAAGATCAAACAACTCCATGCACAGAAATGTATCTTAAACAAAAGAACATATTTAATTTTTTCTTTTGTTATTGTGCAAAACTAAAATAGGAGTAAGTATCCATTTGCTTGGTTGTCTGCTGTTTATTCCCCAATTTTATTTAGTCTGCATGCACAGTTGTGAACCTATAACTTCTCAACCCCTGCTGTAACCAACACTGTACATCCTATAAAACTGAATACACCACATGCTGTTCCTAGTATATTGCTAACATAAATTTGATCATATCTTCTAGTTCCTGAGACCAACCGAAAGCCATCACCAAACCACCATTGTCCTGAAGAACTGCTCCCCTATCACTGAACTCTTTTCCGATGGCAGACTTCTAATGGACTCCAAAAGTGAAGGACAAAATTCACTTTGTTGCGACCAAAACTGGACAACTTCAAATCTACAGTCACATATATCTCAGAATAGCAGTTTTCCACAGTCGACAGAGGGACTCCAGCTCCCGGGGACAAGGTCAAACATGGCGGATATCCATCAACACTGGCATTGACGAAGAGGATCATCACACTTCAATGCCCGGGTGATTTTTTTTTTTTTTTTTTTGTTTTGTCAGGTTTGTATCACGGAAAAAATAGCTTGGCAGACAACAACAGCTGGTCCACTTGTGTCTTGGGATGACTCGACCGAAGCCCGATCAAGGACTTTTTCTTTGTGTTAATATACTTCTTTGAGTAGCAACTCGCCTCTCACTCTACTACCCTCACTCCACTTTCCCTGTGTCTTTCTCTCTCTCTCTAAGCACATAGCTGTCTGGTGCTGATGGTTTTGAACTTTTGAATAGGTATGTTGTGTTATTGAGAAAATATTTCACAATCCTTCAAAGTCCTTCAAAGTCCTTTAAAGATACATTTTATCATATAATTTAAAATACTTTCTACAGGAATAACAAAACAATTGCATTTTTTATATTCTCAGATTGTTTGTATAAGCTTGCGATGACTCATCCTTATCCAGACATTAAGTAACTAAACAAAATGATGTAGGTTTAGCCGCCCCCTCATGATGTTATTATAACATATTATTATGTTTGATCATGTGCACAAATTGCGATGCTTTGTTTATGTAATTTGCATTTTGATTTATGTTTACACATCGAAGGATCCCTTTAATATACTGCATTCTAGTTCTAGCTCTGCCAAAACAAACTCAATATAACATAGGCCTAATAATTCTAATTTAAATGTTCTTGTTGTGGTGGTTTCTTTAATGTTTTGCCAGTTAGTAAAGAGTTAATAGTATTTTATTGACTTGTTTCTTGCCAAAGCATTATAATCTGAGTCATTTTGTTTAATCTCATATAAACCAACTTGAGTAAACAAAGAGCAATTTTTTGTAGTGAAAAGAAAACCTGGTGGCTGGCCAAGCGATCTTTGTTTGGATGAGGTCAACACTAATCTTACTTAGTAATTAATTCATATATATAATAACTATAATTCAGTGGTTGACATTATTAAATTAGGTGATATATTTAGGAAAACATGTTCACAGACTGACAGTAATTTAAGTTACTTATTTATTTATTTATTTATTTATTTGATCCCCATTAGTCATTACTGGGGTAAAGACTATTCTTCCTGGGGTCCAAGTTGGCATAATTTACAATAAATTGTTCCATAATAATAACAAAAAAGTTCACACATAAGTTTATACAGTCCTGTTCCATAGTATACTACATCATAAACACTAACTATAATATATCCAATAAATTACATTGCCTAACTAGTGACTAAATATAATTATGTACAATTTCCATAAAGTTACTTTCCATAAAGTTTACTCTAAAGTTGAAAAACTATATCAGTGGTGTTATTAGTTATTTGAGAAATTATATTTTTCTGTCAGACTATAGCATTTTTATTTTCATTTATGGCTTCTTGGAGATGTTATTTCATTGCCTGGAATGTTCTATGTTGTTGTGGCAATAAACCTGTATAATATGTATTTTTATTGCTGGAATAAGGTTGCCACTGCATAGAGCTGATTTGTAACTTGGCCTAGTGGCATCATCTGCTTGTCTCTACAGAGATAGGTAAGTTTAATGCCATTCTGTGGAACATTACTTCATGCAATTACTTCATGGCGACAAGCAGGTAGCAACCCCCACCCCTCCAGAAAAGTAACATATTGCACCTTTAACAATAAACTTACAATATTGTGGAGCCCTGGCAGGGGCATAAAACTCTTTGTGAACATAACATAACCTAGAAGCCAAATTTGGATTTTAAACTTTTGACTGACTGGCATGTCTGACAAGTGCCAAAGCCAATTTCATATATACATATCCATATTTGCATATTCAGGAGGACCATATGTTGTGTGTGGGCTGCAGCGGGATGTGCTGGGAATAAGGATAAGGAGTTTTATAATGAAGTCACAAGTCTGGCACTGTTTCCATTCTCCCATTTTCAAACCAGCATGTCGTCGACTCGGAAGGATACACCCAGCTGTGCAGATGGAAAATTAGCTGTATTTTTTCCTCCTTTATGTACACATCTTACTGATTGCAATGGTCAAAGAAATAGTCACAAAAATGGTGCAGTACAGAATAGGGCCGTAATGTTAAATAATATATAAGCCTAGAATCGCCACTGTGCTGTACGCGGAACACAGGCCACATTTGGTGTATTTAATAATTTACAACAGTGATAAATTCAACACTTCAGAATGTGAATTTTGTTGTATTTGTGGATGGCTGAACATAGAGGTTAAGAGCAGTTCATGGGCTCTTCGAAATCAGTTTGTTATGGTGATGATTATACTATGAAAATTATTTATGTAGCATTATAGACAAGGAACTTTACTATCAGCATTTCAAAGCAAACAGCAACAATATTACAAATAGATCTACACTAAATGTTTTTGTATGTAATCTTTCCATGCATAAACTACAGTTCCTTCTAATATTTATTAAATTCAATGTAGATGACAATTTTTTGACAATTTTTCACTTGTTCATGGCCAGAATTGTAATGGAGGTTTAAAATATTCTGTAACTAAAATCATTCATTATCCTGTTTATTTCAAATCAGCGTTTTTATAAAAACATTTGGAGATGTTTTTCGCAAATCTACTCCATTATTGTATTGAGAATATGTGAAAAGTCAAAACTAAATTGTGACTGAATTGGAGTTTTAGAAGAACTTGATCATGAAAGTCCAAATAAACTCAGAATACTTTTAGTTACAGCACAATTTCCCCACACAACATAAATGCATAAATATTTACCTCTCGTTGGCTGGCATTTAATCAGTAGTTTTCTGTCCTCTTAAGTGGAAGACTCCTCATTTTCTTCTTTGGGGGCTTCCTATTCAATTATGATATGTTATTCAAATCAGTGCAAATAAATCAGCCCGCAGCCTCTGAATCCTGCTGAAATAAGTTCACTAAGAAGTCACAGGCAAAAGTGAGCAATGGCAGCTGAATTAGAAATAATGAGTCAGTGTGTGTACGTGCGTAGACATGAATACACACCATTCAAAGAGATGTAAAAATTTAAAAAGTCTTGTGTGCCTGGCTGAAAGATAGTCATTACTTCCCCATCTTCGTTATCTTCAGAAGAGAAGTCTCAGTACTCAAACCAAACTCAAACTATTTTCTGCACTTATCTGGAAGAGCATGTATCTATCCCACTTGAATCGTTTTACACTGCTATTTATAACTATTGCGTTGTTGAGACATTATTGACAATGTTGATCAATGCACCATTTAAACTCAACATTTAAAAAATATTAGAGATATGCACAAAATTACTTTTTTTTTTTTTTTTTTCGAAAAGTATGAAATTGATTATTTTTGCATGAATCAAAAATGGAGAAACAAGTAGAATATTGTGGGCATTTGTTTATATAGTTTGTTATCAATGATCAGAGGTGGGGACTTGCAAGTCGTGACAAGTCGAGTCAGACTTGAGTCACTATTTTTACGACTTCAGGCTTGACTTGATAAAATGGACTAAGACTTGGGACTCGATTTACACTTGAAGGTCAGTGACTTGGGACTTGACTCAGACTTGAGGCCTGTGAATCGAGAAGACTTGAGAAGCACTTTTAAATCTAAATTCTTTCTATTCTGACCGTAATGAGTCACACTCAAAATCTTGTCAAGACATTTAAAAATGAAAAATTAACAAAATAAATTTCTACAATTTTTATATGATCTACAAATACTCATATATAAATATACTATGATTTTTTTTAAGTACATTTTATCTTAAAAGTCATATAAACTGCAAAAGTCTGAGATTTATTTGGTATTTTGTTTTAAAGACTTGAACTGACTTGAAGTTCAAAGCAGAAGATTTGGACTTATGGGCCAGTGACTTGAGACTCGACTTGGACTTGCCTATTTTTGACTTGGGACTTGACTCGGACTTTAGGTCAAAAACTTGAGACTTGCAAAACAAAGACATGGTCCCATCTCTGTCTATGGTAAATTTATTTTATGACATTTTTTGGTTGTATTTTGGTTGCATATAGCTCTTCACTCCCCCCCGCAGGCAATCGGTATCTTTCATTAAAATTCAGTGAGCAGATTTCACTGGGACTCATTGTACTGTCTTACACTGTCAGTTTCAGAAGTAAATTTTGAGGTACATTAGAGTCTATCAGGGCCAGTTTTTATTATTTAAATGAGTATGGCTCTTTATATTATTGCATATTACCCAAACAAACATCTTCATTCACCTTTTATTGATGAGACTTTTAAATCAATTAGATTTGAATAGTTAGCATTGTGGTCTTATTGCTGAAAACTGATAATTCTCTCATCACTATGAACCTTTTCACAGCCGTTTTGAATTCCTTATTGTAACTCAGTCCCAGTTGGTCTCAACATATTCTGCTTCAATTATTACTTTCCATTGCAGACTCCCATTGTTCACTATGGACCTCATTATGTCCAAAGTCTGGGCCCAGGGTCCACACAAGGCTCCCCTGTTCATTTATATGGGCCAGACGCACTCATACATGGTAATACACCTCTAGTTATAATAGACAAAACAGGGAAGTAGAATCAATGGGAGAGAATGAGAGATTGGATCAATAGTGGAAAAGATGCGATTTTCACTCATCGAGCAGGTTCAGAGATAATGCATGGGTAAAAACGGACAGTATTGACATCCGATTTATAATGATTTTGAAGTTTTTGGGTAATTGGTTATGACTATAATATTTTATCTGCTTTTTAGAGTAGATTGATGATTGTTAATGCCACGCTGAAAGATTTTATTTATACATTTCTTGTCAAATTACTGTCCTTGTCCACTAGGTATGTAATTTTTACTTCCAATAAAAGTGGAACTAAACTGCAAATGTAGCATACCTAGTTTGCATTAAAGTTGACAAAAAAATGACCTGGAAGAATAGAGAATGCGAATAAAACTTCATATACACAGTTTTAGTAGTGAAAACTGGATTTTGTGGTTAGTTCCACGTTGAAGCCCATACTCACATTTGTTTTTTTCTAATTATAG